CATTACCATTGAGATTGCAGTGCTTTCGTAGGCATGCAGTACAACCACAGGGGGTTGATTTCAGAATGATGTGAGTCTTTTCATCCCCAAATATTATGAAAAGCTATTTGCTACATGCGTAGTAGACTGGTTTCTCAAATGCGGCTGTGGCGGGCGTGCAAGGCGAGTAATGCCAACACGAATCAATACTGGTTTCGGTATTGAACTGAGCGTGCGTTTACTTCTAGGTGCGCCATAGATGTTTATACCTTGTATTTCCCTAGAAAAGCTCCATACCATTCTCATCGTTGCTAAAAGCGCATACGTTGCAAAGGCAGCTTAAGGAAACAATCTGGTTCGGGATGATGGCCCAGATTACGTTGACAACAAAACCAGCGGGTTGCGGTGGCAATAACAGTTCTGATGCACCAGCGGAGTTTGGATATTAGCAGGGCGGGCACATCATGCCAGGTTGGTGACAGGTGTCATAAATATTAGCGAGAAACGGCGCTGGCCTTGCACTGATACTAGCAATAAGTTACCCCTGTGTTTTAACCCGCCAGCTTCGTATATCATGTAGCCGGCTCTGGTCTTAGATATTGTGCTATAATGCGATATTAACGCTATATCACGCATCTTATTGTCAACGTCCTACATCATACATCCAGCACTGGTCTAGACATCGTCAGAGGTGAATACAGGCATCACAATGTGGAGTAGACGGGAACGCCAATATTTGCATGGTAAGGCTTTACTCGTGATCAAGGGTTTTACTCGCCTAATTTCCAAATCCTGCATACACTGGCAGGAACTTCCTCGAAGTTTAACATAATGCAGGAAATCTGAATACATTATTCTGGTAAGGCAAACTACTCAGGTTTATTCCATTTTGCCCTCCTGAGTACGTTTGTAACGTTTGATGCACACGCTTGTTTCGGGTAAAGAAGTTCATACCACAAGCTTTCGTTAAGTCTTCGCCCCTCCAACTCACGCGTGGGCCGATTCCCGCGTGGTGTATCGCACGCCACATGGATCTCCAGCGGGATAGACCACATGGGAAAAGGCATGAATGCTGTACCAGTCAGATGTCTTTCCCGGCTTGAGGCCAGCGGAGTGATACAGACACGATTATTATTACCATGCAAAAAACGCATTAATACAAGGGAATGAAAATATTTCTTGGGAGTCTATACAGAAACGGCACGCAAGTATTATTAGAAAATGTAGCCTTCATGAATTTTCCACGCGGAGGTGAACTAATCTTGTGTCTACGCGCTAGATACCTTTGTCTGCAGTACCGGCTGTTATGAGGTCTGTCAAGGTTTGTCGCTTTGGTGACAACTCTTTATTGCAGACCTTTATTTTTTTATATGATAAAATACGTTCCATACGCAGCAAGGTCTGTTTCTGCCTGCCTTATATGCGTGCAGAAACACACTGCACTGAAAAGCTAGTAGATTTCGCCTTGTGTACTTGCGAGCAACTCGGGTCCTGAACTACACACACGGGGTTTTCACAATCTCCACCATCTACTTTATGCTAGAAAACATGTCTGATAGCAACGAAACGATGCTCTCATTATGACCATAATTCCCCAATCCCTCTTGGTCGTGTGCACAGCCATCACAAACAAGATCACCGTGTTGGGTACGCTTTGAGCAAAAACTCTCAACTATAAAATATGCATTTTTTTGGTCTGAGCCCACCACGCCCGACAAGCGCACAGCAACTTGAATTATTGAATAGTGCGCAAGACATATAATGTTGTTATTCGAAAGGTGAAACTGACGCATAAAACTACAACGTATGTTTCAAATTTTGGTAACACGGTTGGTGCAGAGCAGCATGCTTCACTTATAAGCTCGACCTCCGGGACCCCGATAAGCATCTTGAGCACATCGCGAT